AATATTTTTTTATATTTTTTTAAATTAGAGTCTATTTCTTATTATTTGAATTTTATCACTATTGCAAAAATAAACAAAAACAGTTTTCTTTTTCGATCCAATTTTAAAGTTAATTTGTAAAATTTTCCCACTTTAACCTTTCCCACTTTAAAAATGAACAAACACATCATTTTTAAACTAAAAAAACACATTATAAATTTTTTCATCTGTTATATGAGATCGAGAAATTTTAATCTAAAAGTCCAATTCGTTATAAATCATACTTATTAATTTTTTAAAACTAATGTTTACTGTCAAATTATTTCCAAATTTTATAGTAAAATTAATTTTTTCAAGGCTAATTTTTTTAATAAAAATTATAAAGTAAAAAAAATTTTTAGAAAATAAATCTCACGGTTTAAATTTTCAATTTAAATTTTTTAAAAGGTGAAAATAAACTTCAATTTTTTTAATATTTTGAATTAAAATAAAATTTCTTACAAAGTTTCCATTCTGTCGTAAAGTGTTCTGCTGCTGCCTGGTTGAGTCTGGCGTGAGTAGAAAAGTTCTCGTTTAACCCGTTGGCGATCTTGTCTTGCAGTATTTGCGCGATGTGTGTGCTGATTGATCAATTGAAATCTTCCTCTCTCGACATACCCACTTCCCTGAGAAAGTTTGGTGTTCTTCTCTTTGCAACTGAGATATCTGGAAAATTAAAATTATACACTGCGATTAATTATCGAATATTTTAATAAATAGCTAAATAAATAAATATTAATAAATGTTAATAAATAAATATTATTTATTATTAAATATTAATAAATATTTATTGTTTTTAATTTTCTGGCCTTTGGTCCAAAGGCTATAAAATTAAAAACACCGTTATTGCAAACAAATTAAGATCCTTTCAAACTTTAATCAATAAATATTTACATTCGGTTTCCGTGTGTTCTAGAAACGTTATATGAAAAATCATTGTAAACATGGCGTTCTTTTAAATGACGAGGTAAATTATTATTCTCCATGTTTATCTTTCGACTTGCAAATTCTGAATGGAATGTACCTAATAAAACAAAAGCTTGTTCACTTGTTTATATTTTACCATGGCAATAAAACAAAATATGTCTGTGGTCAGAATCGTTATTCATTTATTATTTGCACACAAAAAAGCCTGAAATTTTTTGATATATTTTTTTCAAATGCAACTGAAAAAGACATTATAGAAAAAAATTTAAAAAAAAAATCATTTTTTATAAGTCATATTATATAACTTTATAAACATTGGGTTATTGCGTGTATTATTTGATATTCCCTAATCTAAAATAGATTACATATTATTTAAATAATTCTCATTATTGGGACATTTATTGTATGTACTTGCATCTGAAGTTTAACGAAAAACAATTTCCTTGAGGAGAATTAAAAAAATAACTAATTACTGCAAAGATAATAAAAAGCAGTAGAAATTAAAATTTTTAATCTAATTTTAAATGTTTATAAAAATTTTTTATCAAATTCTTTGTATTTCATAGAAAATAAACATAATTTTTGTTAAAATTTTATACTTAAATTATTATTTTTGCAAGGTGCTTCGAGCCGTGATTATATGTAATTGATAAAAGGATTAAAAACTCTGAAATCTAATTACGAAAATCGAATACAAAAATATGGCTATTTACACGTACGGCATTCTTAACAACCAAAAGTAAGGTTATCTTGACAATACTTAATTTTCAGATTAAGTGTTGTATCAACAGATGTTAAAATAATTAATTGTAATATAAATTAATTTTACCTTATAATTTATAATGACACTTTCATTAACATGATTTAGCTAAACCGTAAGCTATTGTTCTTCTGAAGTCGAAAAATGAAAAATATTGCCTGTGCAATTTGGCGTCTCTGGATTTTCTTCTTATTATTAGTGTTTTTATTTTCAATATTAATTGTTTTTTTTAAATTTCCATAAATAAGTATATTCTTTTTTAACACTTTCTGATATTCATGAAATCTTTTTTGTCAGAACTCTTTGTTAATTATTAGTTTAGAGGTTATCTGATGAGTGAGCATGCACGAATCATGCCTACCACGTGCCAATTATACTAACAATTTCCCTAAATAAAACATTCCTAGGCAGGGTTCGGTCACTCTTAATCTTTGCGTTACCATGACAACTGGCAGTCAAACAGCAGCCAGAGAACTATGATCAAACCTTTAACTTTCACGATTTTAGTGAAAGTGGATTTCATTGTGCCCTATAGTTTTAGGCCTTCAAATGGATGATGACGTCATGATGTGTTGTGTATACCTTCATCAACAAAAACATTTAATAAACAAAAAGTGAAATATAAGTGACCCCAGTTACCTATTTCGATTTCGATATTATGGTATACTTTAATTACAAATAAAATGTTTCGTTTTGATGGTTATCAATATATTTTAAGACGCCAAGTGCGCGACATAAGGTAAGTAAATTACCAATAATATTTTTTAAAAATAAAAAATCAGACTTTATATAAAAACTTTTGCCTGTTTCAAGATTCGTATTAGACAATCAGAGTAGAAAATTGACGATGAAGAAAAAAATTCAGAAATCTTTTTTTCTAAATATTGTCATTTTTAGGTAAAAATTGGATATGTTGAAAATATCTCGGCCAATTTCGTTTATTCTTTTTTGCTAGTTAAAAAAATAATTTTTGTGTAACAATTTTTAAAGAGTTTAAAACGTTTTTTACATCGAAAAATTAACTATTCGTTTATAGTTACTTTGGGTCAGAGTCCATAATTTTTGACCGATTCATTTTGAAGTTTAAAATAAAGTTAATTGGGTCAAAATCTAGATATATAATTTAAAAAAATATCGTTTTTTATAAAAAAAATTTTTATTTTTTTGTCATTAAAACTTCTTTACACCTATTATAACAGTAGCGTAAAAAAATCATATACCCCCTCTCTCCCCAACCCAATTGATTATTATTTTTGATATTTTAGGTATATATCTTGTGCTCAGCGTTTCAACAGAAGTTGTATGGCATGTGGAATCATTAAAAATGAAATATTTACTCTACATCTAGTACATAACCATGGTCCAATTATACCACAAGCTGTTTAATAAATTTATTAATACATGTTTCCTCTTAAAAATTAAGATAATGTAATTATATTTACCTATATTATTCGTATAACTTTACAATAATAATAACAAATTTAAATTTGTTACTAAAAATTAATACTAAAATTAATTTTAATTACATTAAAACCCCGCATATCAAAAGCAATTTAATAATAAAACGTCTAAGTGTTCGTCCTGAAGAAACACTCTTTCAGAAGACCGCTAAGACAAAAGGATTTGTGAAAAAAAAGAATTTAAAATTTCTTTGTTGTCACTCCCCCTCCTCCCTTTTGTAATATTTTTCTCGTACTTTTTCAATTTCGTCTACATAGTAGCGTGATATTTTGATGAAACCCCTATATATATCACATGGTTGTAAAGTAAATTTTATTTCTACTCAGACCATGCCTTTTATTGTTTGGTAACAAACATGGATTTTATTTTTATAGTTCACATTTGAGTAATGGGGCTCAAATATTCCTATTTTTGGCCACCAATATGATCTACAATTTTAAGAAAAAAAGATATCGTCACAGGGATAAAATATTATCGATATATTTTTTATATTATATGTATATATATATATATTATTATTATTATATATATATTATTATTTTATATATTATATATATATATATTTTTTTTTATATTTTGAAAATTTTCTACAATAAAATAATTTATTTATGAGAACGTCAAATTTAATAATTTATAAATTTATCTAATAAATGAATTAAATAAATTTAATGATTAATTGAATATTATTTTAAACGTTATAGGTATTTAATTTGCAATCGATATTCCAATGGAAGATGTTTCGGACGTGGAACGTTACGAAATGAAGGATTTACTTTAACCTCATTGCATAGTCATAGTTCATTTAGTACGGATTTCAAAGTAAATGTATTTCTGGAATATTTGAAAATAGCTGTTCAGTCTCAAAGGTCATCCGATTTAAGGGCAATTTATGATGAAGTGCGGATAAAGTAAGTATAAATAACAATACTTGAAAACAGTCTAACTGCTACCCAGTGTAAATTTTTTTTTTATTTATTGCATGGGGCCCCTTAATTGATCTATTATTGTTGAAGTTATGAGAATTAAAAAAAATATGTTCTTCCAATTGAAATAATCTTTAAAATTGATATCTCACAAGTATATTAAAATATATTATTTACAAAAAATGGACCTTTCTTCTTGGAGTACAAGAAGCTAAAACAGTTTAAGCCAAATGAGAAATGTCAAAGTTATCGATAAATACGTTTGGCATGGAACATCTCATAAATAATATAATTTCTTTTAAAAATTTTACCCATAAGATACACAAGTTTATTTTGTCTCGTTACAGAGTTTGTGTAATTCCTAACTTACTAAAATTTTGTAATTTTTATTTCCCAGTTAAAAGTATTAATTATGCTTGATTTTTCAGTCATCCTGTAGCAGCAATCACAAGACCTTTTGTAAGTTGTGAAAGTTTAATGTACAAGTGGCGACATCAAAGCCAACCCCCAATGCCCAGGTCGTTACATGATTATGTACACATATTAAATTCAGACGAATGGAATTATTTGTGTCACATTAACGAATTAATATTGTTTTTAAAAATACGCGGTAATTAAATTAAGATTTTATAATATAGGTGGCGTAATTAAAGAAATGCGCTCTCATTTGTCATGCGCCGAAAAAATCCTCAGTTCTCAGCATCGAGCTGTTCGCTTTAGATCGTTCTAATAAAGTCATTAATTTGTTCAAAGAATTTATTGTTTACTTTTGTAATTTCACACTTTATTATGTTAAAATACCCATCCTAAAAAACTAACTTGACATTTTGGCGACCGTGACAGGACCCGGGTTATTCGTGTGTGAAAATAATTTATGTTGAAAAGTGTTCTATATTCCGACGCGAAACAAAATGGACGACCTAAAAAAGAAAAAAAGACTGCAACGTGCAAGTTTCACAAGAGAACTCAACGTTTTGAATCAAGGACTTGAAGCGGACATAAACGCACAAAGTCTAAAAATTTCCTTTCACATGTTGGAAGAAAAAATGACACAATTGTCCGCCACGACTGAAAAATTCATCGACTACATATTAGAAGATCCAGAAACAACGGATGAAGCACTCGAAAGAGAAGTCGAAGAGGCTGATGAATACAAGAGAAAATACTTATCAGCAAGATTCAACGTGGAACAACGCTTAAATGCACCGACCGACGTTGTTGTGACGCACAACGGAACCACGCCACAAACTGAAAGTCGAAAAACCTACAGATTGCCACAAATCGAGTTGTGTAAATTTGGAGGCGACATCAAGGAATGGCTTCAATTCTGGAGCTTATTCAAGAAAATCCATGAAGATTCGAATTTATCCAAGGAGGACAAATTCCAATATTTAATACAGGCGATGATTCCGAATTCACGAGCCGCATGTTTAGTGAAAAGTTATCCCCCCACGGGAGATAATTACGACAAAGTAATATCTGGATTAAAAAATAGATTCGGTAATGATAGTCTGCAAATAGAAGTTTACGTGAGAGAACTTTTGCAGTTGGTACTGAAGAATTCTATTACACCGGCAAAAGATATTCAACTCTCCACGTTATATGATAAAATTGAATCTCATTTGCGGGCCCTAGAGTCCCTCGGTGTTACCTCCGACAAGTGCGCCGCCATGTTATTTCCCCTAGTGGAATCTTCCTTACCAGAGGAACTACTTCGCGCTTGGCAACGGAGCAGCGCCATGCATGCTAGTGTTACGCAAGATACCGAAAATGCCGAAATACATGCTGAAGATAGGTTAACGCAACTTATCAAATTTCTCGAAGCCGAAGTTCATAACGAAGTTCGTATTTCAATGGCTGTGAAGGGTTTTGATTTAAAATCGAGTGAGCAAAGTGATAACGCGAAAAATAAAAAATCAAAAAATCGCAGTGATGATAAAAACATTCCCTCGGCTACGGGATTATTGTCAACAAAAGACAAAATTCAACCGTGTTTATTTTGTGACTCTACCGATCATCAAAATGCTACTTGTGAAAAAGCTAAAAAAATGACAATTGTACAAAGACGCGAAATCGTCAAATGTAAACACGCTTGCTTTAATTGTCTAAAATTTGGACACGGGTCCAGACAGTGTACTACTAAGTTGAAATGTGAGTGGTGCTCTCGTTGACATGTTTTAATAATGTGTCCTAACCTCGAAACGAAGAATGTTACAGATGATTCTACATCGGTTAAAAATGATTGCATTTTGGCTAATCAGAGCAATGATCCTGAAGTCTTCATGCAAACTCTAAAAGTAAAATTGTGCAACGAAAATAAAGGAATTTCTGTGCGCGTTGTAATAGATACCGGGTCTCAGAAATCATATATCACAAAAGAAATGTGTAAACTGATAGGTTATGAGCCTATTTCGGAACAGCTAATGATACATTCTTTATTCGGTGGTAAAAATTCCGGTACGGTTACGCATAAAAAATACAACGTTCGTTTGGAAAGTTTAAATGACAGAAATTCGTTTAATTTCGTCGCTCTTGATCAGAACGTGATTTGCAATCACGTACCCTCGGTAAAAAACGGTATTTGGATTCAAGAACTTAAAAAATTGAACATTAAAATCAGTGATTTCGAAACTAATGATAATTCTGTTGCGTTGTTGATTGGAGCTGATTTTGCTGGCAGATTGTTAACCGGTCAACGAAAACTTCTCGATTGTGGTTTAGTTGCAGTGGAAACCGTTCTTGGGTGGACATTGATGGGCGAAGTTCCACAAAATGATATTGAACGAGAGAATCCTATTTTACTTGCAACCACCCTATTCGTGAAAAATGATAATATCAGTGATTTATGGTCTTTGGAAGTTCTGGGGATAAAAGACCCGATTGAATTAAAAACACAAGGTCAACTCGAAGAAGAGGTTACCCAAGAGCTCCTGAAAACGCTAAAAATGAATGAAGAAGGCCGTTACGAAGTTGAATTGCCGTGGTTACCAAATCATCCTGAACTAAAAGACAACAAGGACATGGCTATGAGACGTCTCCAATCTACGGTGAAAAAATTGAAGTCCGAGGAACTGTACGAGGCCTACGATGCAGTATTAGATGACTGGATGCAGGAAGGCATAATCGAGTACGTTCCAAAGGAAGAAGAAGATCAATGGGGTCGTTATTTACCACATCGCCACGTATTGAAGGAAAATAGTACAACCAAACTGAGACCAGTATTCGACGGTTCAGCCAGGGATAAGTCATCACCGTCGCTCAACGAATGTTTGGAGAGAGGTCCCAACCTCATCGAAATGGTAACATCTAATTTATTACGCTTTCGTCAAGGTAAGATTGGTATCGTTTCAGACATTAAAAAAGCTTTCTTGCAAATTAGTATTGATCCTAGAGACAGAGATTCCTTAAGATTTTTATGGTTATCAGACAATGGAGAAACTGTAATTTTACGTCATCGTCGAGTAGTTTTTGGTGTCAATTCGAGTTCCTTTATTTTAAATGTCGTAATAAATGAGCATTTACAAAAAACTTTAGACGGTTTACTTGATGGATCAATAACAAAGTACAGTAAAGAAAATATTGCTAAACTCAAAAAAAGTTTTTATGTTGACAATTGTTTAGCAAGTGTCAATTCAAGCGAAGAATTAACGAATTTCATTATCGATTCTAGAGCTGTGATGGAGGAAGCTGGGTTCGATCTTCGAGGGTGGGAGTATAATCACGATAACTCGCACCAAAGCCAAGCTGTAGTTCTGGGATTGATCTGGAATAAAGAGGATGACTGTTTTTCGCTGAATCTGTCTGCCCTGGACCAGTGTTGAGATGAAAAAATCACTAAAAGAAAAATACTTTCGTCTGCTCATCGAATATTCGATCCATTGGGAATGGTTTGTCCTATTATGTTATGCCCAAGAATTTTACTTCAGGAGACGTGGGCTCAGAATTTAGCATGGGACGACGAAGTAGATGAAAACGTGAAATTTCGATTTTTAAAATGGGTAGACAATTTAAAAAATTTAAGCGAAGTAAAAATACCCCGGGTCATTTTTGGAGATATAAATCCAGACGACGATATTAGCATACATACGTTTTGCGATGCTAGTCAAATCGCTTATGCCGCTGTAGTATTCATTAGAATCGAAAATGAATCGGGGATCCGCGTAAATTTTATTCAAGCTAAAACGAGAGTAGCTCCACTAAAGAAAAATAACTCAGAAACGCGACAAAGTATTCCGCGTCTCGAACTCTTAGCGGCAACAATCGGTATACGTTTAACGGAATCCATTTTAAGCTCCGTCGATGCAATAGACGTGAATAAAATAAAAATTTTTTATTGGTCAGACTCCTCAACTGTCATTGCCTGGATTCGTCGGGATTGTAATTGGGGAACCTTTGTTTGGAATCGCGTCCAAGAAATCCGGAAACGTTCAAATCCCGATCAATGGAACCACGTGCCAGGTAATTCCAATCCGGCAGATTTACCGTCTAGAGGATGCAATATCGATCAACTGATTTCGTCAAATTGGTGGGAGGGTCCGACTTGGTTGTATTTGAAAAATCAGGACTGGCCGAAATTTGAATCGATTTGCGATGAATCAGAAATAACGAATGAGTTAAAAAAGAGTAGTACAGACAAAACAAAAAGAAATACGGTATTAATGTATACTTTGAAAAATTCTGAAACAACAGATACTTCCGGTTTAATAAAAGAATGCTCTGACTTTTTTAAACTCAAACGCGTGGTAGCATGGATTTTCAGATTTGCGAAAAATTGTAGGAGTACGAAAGAATCGCGAATAACGCAAGATTTGACCTTTCACGAAATACAAAACGCGGAAAATTTGTTAATAAAATTAATTCAACAAGAAACTTTCACAGGCATCGAGGATGAGCGAGTCAAGCAATTCGTGCCTTTCAGGGATGAGCAAGGTTTGAGTAGAATAAAAACTAAAATAGTTTTGCGCAAAGATTTATTCAACTTTCGCTGTCCAGTAGTTTTACCAGGTAATCACGAGATTACTAAAATGATTATTGAAGAAAAACACAAGGAATTAAATCACGCGGGTGTAGAAATCTTAATGAACAGTCTTAGAGAAAAATTTTGGATTCTAGGCGGAAGAAAAATTATTCGAATAATTATTCGCCGCTGCGTAGACTGCCAAAGACACGACTCGAAAGCCTTGCAAACAATTCCTGCACCTTTGCCTCAAAATCGTGTTAGGGACGCTGCCGTTTTTGAAATATTAGGAGTTGATCTTACGGGTCCTATTTATCTTAAAGGAGGTCAAAAAGCATGGATTTGTCTATTTACTTGCGCGATTTTTAGAGCTGTACACCTCGAATTAGTTACTTCATTGTCTACAGCCTCATTCCTGTTAGCTTTGAGACGACATATCGCAAGACGCGGTAGACCCTCCATTATCTATAGCGACAATGGAACGAATTTCGTTGGCTTAAATAATTCGTTGAAACGCATAGATTTTACAAAGCTGGCCCAGACTAGAGCAATGAGACAGATTCAGTGGATTTTCAATCCCCCTGCTGCAGCTTGGTGGGGCGGATTTTGGGAACGCATGAACGGGATATTAAAAAGATTATTGAGACGTACTTTAAAAAGATCATGTCTAAACTATGAAGAAATGTTGACGGTTTTACTAGACTCTGAAGCCGTCATTAATTCGCGTCCAATTACATTTTTGTCCGAAAATGATCATGAAGTGGTCCCGCTTTCTCCATCCATGTTTCTACAAGAAATCAAGGAAATTGGCGTCGTAGATTTAGATCAAATAGAAAATTGTCAATTAGACAGAAAGTACATGTATCGTCAAAAGGTTAAAGAAGCACTTCGTAGCAGATTTCGAAATGAGTATTTAGGCTCACTTGTGATTAAAAATTGTAAAATAAAGAATACAAGAAGTGTGACTGAGAATGATATTGTATTGATTGAAGTAGACGATAAAAAACGAATAGATTGGCCTTTAGCTAAAGTTAAGAAAGTAATTACGGGTAAAGATGGCGAAATTCGAGTTGTTCGCTTGGCCACTTCTAACGGTGAATTGACAAGACCAATTCAAAGGATTCATCCTTTAGAATTAAAATTTAACGATTCGGAAATATCTAACGACGAAATTGTAATCGACAAATATAAAGAAATTATACAAACTCAGAAAAATGACAAAATTGATGAAACAATTTGTGAAATTGAAAAAACAACGAACTCCGTTCCTAAGGTTGTAACTACGAGGAGTGGAAGAAAAATAAGGAAACCCGATAGACTCACTTATAATTGAAGAAAATTTTCATTGCATTGTATTCGATTTAAATAGTTATATTGATTGAGATGTAATAAATAATACTTTGTTTATTCAAACCATCTCAATGGTGGGAGGATGTCACATTAACGAATTAATATTGTTTTTAAAAATACGCGGTAATTAAATTAAGATTTTATAATATAGGTGGCGTAATTAAAGAAATGCGCTCTCATTTGTCATGCGCCGAAAAAATCCTCAGTTCTCAGCATCGAGCTGTTCGCTTTAGATCGTTCTAATAAAGTCATTAATTTGTTCAAAGAATTTATTGTTTACTTTTGTAATTTCACACTTTATTATGTTAAAATACCCATCCTAAAAAACTAACTTGACAATTTGAAAGCATCAACCGATGGCAACGTCAACGTCTCTTATGTTCTGCATCCCGACTTGACATCATCAGCAGTGTATATGGATATTGAATATGCCCGGAAAATAATAGGAAATAATACTACTTTCTATCTGGATGCAACATTTAAAATAGTCCCAGGATCTTTGAGACTTTGGCAATTTTTTACTGTAATGACTGTTAGATACGGACAAGTAAGAGAGAAATTTACTTTGTTTAAAAATACAGTACTTTATTTTAAAAGACCATAGATTGAATTCTATCATCATAATTAAATTGCAAGATTTTTAAAAAATTGTTATTTCAAATGTTTTTAAAATTTATTAATGCAATTATAAAACGTTTTAATTGAAATGTTATTTACTGTTGCATACTTCTTTATTAATGCAGTAAATAAATAAATACACCATCTGCTTAATATTATTTTTAAAAACATATTTAATTATAATTTTTAAAATTATTTACATAAAAGGCATACTAACCTTAATTTTTCCTCTTGTATAACTTTTTCTGGAGCTTCGTTATATTGACACTATAATAACACACTATCTCACTGTATTTAAGAAACATACTTCATTAATTTTATTTTTATTCATCAGACTATGCCTTTTGTTTGGTCACTTATGGAGCGCAAAAGTACGAGGGCTTATGCCGCGGTATTTCGAGAGATTAAAAGATTATTACCAGAATTGGTAATCAATGAGTGTATGATCGACTACGAAAAAGCGTTGAAAAAGGCTATTCGAGAGGAGTTTCCTGGTGCTGATATACATGGATGCCATTTTCATTTCTGCAAGGTATTTATCATAAAAAAATGTCACCTTTAGAATTTTTTAATTTATAAAAATAATTTTCAATTAAACATGTGTTTACTTTTTGTGTACTTAAAGAGGACAAAATATTAAATTTAAATTGTATAAACCACACAAAGGCATAAAATTATATAATAACAAAAATTTTATTATACTTGCACTTAAATAAATATAGTATAATTAACCTAAACTATCACAACAACTTCAGATGAATTATTGTTAGTAAACTCTTTAAATCTGAATCAGTGTAATCTTACTGATTCTCAGCTATAAATATACCACTAATTCCAATCAGCGTATATACGTTGATGAATTAGCGAAATTTCACTGGGTTTTCTGTGCATATATACACTGATTGGTGTATCAGTGGTATAATTATCACTAATTCAGATTTAGTGACAATTGGAATAAATTATTTTCAGACAAATGTTAAATATGCATGTCATATAGGCTTAAAAGTTTATTTGAAGAACAATGCAGAAGCTAGGCACGTATTTTTATTACTTTTGGCTTTACCCTTGTTACCAGCTAATCAAACCCGAGATGCCTTTGATCAAATTAAAGCTAACATGCCTCAAGCGATTCAACAAACAATGAACAGATTCTTGCAATATTTTGAACGCGAATGGTTTAGAATAGTTACTCCAAATGTTTTCAGTGTTTTTGGTTTAATCAGAAGAACTAATAACTGCTTAGAAGCATACCATCACACATTGATCAACAAATTTGGTGCTCACCCCAACATTTGGATGTTCACTAGTAATACTTTTAAAATATTGAAAAATTATTAATAACTGTTGAATATGAGGCAAAAATTATGTAATTTATATATAATTTTAATTTTTTTTTGTATTTGAGACATTCCACGCCAAATTCATATATCATCAAAATTGACATTTTTAAATTGGCTCAAATTTTTTTACCTTTTTATACTCCATGAAAAAGAGGTCCATGATTTTTTTCAAATTTTTTTATCCAGCCCATTAAGAGAAATATTTTTTCAAAATTTACAATTTTTTAGAGAAACATTTTTTTGATGGCTCATAACTTCTATAAAAATGGATCAATTTTAATGTTACTTAGATAGAAATTTTCAGTTTTTTGATGAATTTTTTAAAAATTTGATGCAAAAAATTATCGAAAAATTATTTAGGGTCAGCCGGGGTAAATCCGAACGGGGGGTAAATCCGAACGCTAATTATTTCAGCTTAATTAAAATTTTTTAAAATAAGTTCGATATGAGAAATTTTACCTCAGATCCTCTTCAAGAGATTCTAAGTATTATCCCATTTTTCGTTTGTTAATTAGCAACAGCATAAACAAAGATAACGAGTATTGCAAAAAAGATTGAAAATCAAAGATGACACTCTTTCAGTATTTTGTCTCGTATTTGAAGAAAAAGAAGCTAAAAATTTATTTTATTATTTATAATTGTTTGTTATGAATACTAGAACAGAAACTATTTTTCATTTTTGCCTTCTGTAAAATTTTATTAATAATATCAGACCGTTCGTATTTACCCAGGAAAATTGGAAAACCGGGGTAAATCCGAACGGTATTTTCAATCATTTTTTTTACATCAGAGCCACACAAAATTGTTTTTATTTCATTACACTATTATTTTAACATTATAAAAGTACATAGAAAAAAGTTTTTCTTTCTATACGTATCCTCGTTAGTAATTAATAAGCAAAAACTTAATCTCTGTTCTCTCGAAGGAGTGTTTCAATTTTTTTGCCAAATGGTTTGTTGAAAAAAGTTTTTCAGGATCTTAATAAAATTTGGTATTCTACGGTTTTTGGGGTCGCTAATTACCAATTTCAAGTCAGTTTTTCAAAATTCAAAATGGCGGACGAGAATTAAAAAATTCATTGGATTCACTCGAAAATTGTTACTCGGGGGGTTTCAGGGTTAGCAAATTTGATCATTTTTAAAAATAAGTTTTAGGAAAGTCCGCCATTTTGAATTTAAAAAATTTGACTTTTATTTTTGTATTTACATTCAATCACTCCAAAATACTTTTTGTACCAAGTTTTGCAAAAATCCGTTATGATTTGATAAAGTTATTGAAGGTTTTAATTGTGTAATGCATTTTAATTTTTAACCTGTTTGATTTTTGTATTTATATATGATGCATTATTTCATAATAGGTTTATTATCGTATTTTTTTTGAGTTTTTATATAAGTTTAACAATTGCAATACTTTAAATTTATTTTCCCTAAGATTTTTCTGAAATACAGTGGCGTTCGTATTTACCCCGGTATTTTAGGAAAGTTGCAAAGTATCGAGGTAAATACGAACGCTAAGTTTCCTGCGATTGTAATTTATCAAAAAATTTTGCTACCCCATAAAATTGTTCTATGGAAGTAAAGTAACAACTTCATGCACCAGAATACCGGAAGTATTTTTTTTTTTTAAAGAAAAAACTTATGTTATTGTTGAAACTTACTAAAAGCGTTCGGATTTACCCCGGTTGACCCTACCACTTTTTTGTAATTTATTTGTTAAAATCTTATTTTCAAAATTGTTTGTATCCTTCGATTTTCTTGAAATAATTTTTAAACAAAATTATTTCTTTTTACGCAAATTTTAAGCCTAATCCCGTCGAGGGTAAATAATTTTTTTTATCTCATAAAATATACAAAATTTTAAAAAATGCTTTAAACAAAAGTTGTAGATCTCATAAAAATACATTTTTTTATGTATTATGGTTTTTTGCCAAAAACTAATAATAATGTAGAAATCAGTTTTTTTAATGGTGGTTTAAACATTTTTGGCATTTTTTGAGACAAAGAATAAGTTTTAACAAAAATAGTGTAATACGTGAAAAATGTATTTTTACGAGATCTACAACTTTTGTCTGAACCGTTTTTTAAAATTTTGCATATTTTATGAGATGGAAACAAAAAACCATTAAATTATGGTATTTTTCATGGTTTTCACTATAAAAATCAAGTGTTCGGTCATTGTGACTATGATTTTTATAATTAGCGCATAAAAATATATAAGAATGTGTAATAACAAAATAATCTGAGGTTTGCATGAGAAAATACTCAATTTTGATAATTTAAAAAAATCCTGAAAAAATAGTAAAAATCATTTACCCACGTCGGGATTAGGCTTAAAATTTGCGTAAAAAGAAATAGTTTTGTTTAAAAATTATTTCAAGAAAATTGAAGGATACAAACAATTTTCAAAATAAGATTTTAACAAATAAATTACAAAAAACGTGGTAAATAATTTTTCGATAATTTTTTGCGTCAAATTTTTGAAAAGTTCATCAAAAAAATGAAATTTTTCATATAGGTAACATTAAAATTGATCCATTTGTGCAGAAGTTATGAGCAATCAAAAAAATGTTTTTCTTAAAAATTGTAAATTTTGAAAAATTCATATCTCTTAAATGGCTGCATAAAAAAATTTGAAAAAAATCATGGACCCCTTTTTCATGGAGTATAAAAAGTTAAAAAAATTTGAGCCAATTTGAAAATGTCAATTTTCATTATATGTCAATTTGGCGTGGAATGTCTCATTTATATATTAATAATTTTAAAAAATTGCACAAAACTAAATAAATTTAATTTTGAAAAAATGGGGTTAAAATAAAATTTTTAAGGGTATTTGAACGTAAAAGATTTTAAAAAAAGAGATCATCAGTTGTAATTTTTTAAAAGTAACTTATTTTTTCTTAATTTAAACAATTATCGTACAATCTAAAGTCAAGTGAGCATTAAATAACAATTCCTAGACTTTCATTTGCAACCGCAAGAAATTAAAAATTCATTATAATTTATGATCACAAAATTAAAATTATGTATACATAACAAGATATAAATAAATGGGTAGTATAAAAACTTGATGCTAGAGTGCAAGAAGTAACGAACATACAACAGTTTTTTACTTTTGATTTTGTGGTCATAAATTGTAATGAATTTTCAATTTTTTGGTCACAAATAAAAGTCAATAAACTTATTAGGATTGACTTTTCCGATTTTACAGTATAACTAGCAACTTTGTCGTCCGCAAGCGGCCGACTACGTTGCTAGTGTGCATTAACCATATTTTTTATTCATTTTTTTTCAAAAAAATTTAATATTAGAAATGTAAAAAAAAATTCTTTATATTGGATCTACCACCCAAGTAGCACGGTATATTGCTTGAATGTCAAGCTGATATCAACCGGGAATATTTTTGTGACATTTAGGCGATATCATAATGTCCTCTTCACGGGGACATTCCTCCGTGATGTATCTATGGGACGGTCTTTCACACAAAAAATGTAACGCGTTACAAAACTTACATTTTACATTTATTAAACCTAAATAATTCTGTGGAACTTTACTTTCATCTAAATCTTCAAAAGACATTATTGCAACTCCTGCACTTTTTTTATTCCAATTATCGTTTTTACATGTCAAATTCTTTTCTTCACACATTCCTTTCATCTTTCTTCTTCTTACATGACAAATTATTTTCTTGATGCACTTTCTTTTCATCTTGAGTTTCCATTGATATTTTTCTTTTCCTACATGCCAAATTTTTATCCTTGTGTATTTTCTTTCCATCTTCAATTTTTATAGATAATTACTTTTTTTGCATGTCAAATTTTTTTTGCGCTCTTTCTATTTTATTTCTGATTTATTACGATTACGTTTTCTCAATCTCTCATTCTCCTGTCTTATTATTTTCTGCTCATATGAAACTTCGCGCCTTGCCTTCCTTTTTCTTCCCTTCTCTTTAATTGCTCGATTTATCTTTTTATCATTTTCTTTACTCAGAAAATTTTTCATTTTTAAATATTCATGTGGTGAAATTTTGTTCACCTTATTATCAGTTGTACGAATTATTTTCTTTTCACCAGTGTCATTTAGAGAATGTTTAATTTTTAAATCTTGTGTTAATAGAACTCTGTTAATATTATTACTGGGAATATAATTACTAAAAATATAATTTTTATGTTCCTGTGTTCAATTTATGAAAAGATGGTTCTAATCATTCTCTATTATCGAATTCCTATTGTGAGACGTTCTTACTGTCGGAAAATGATTTAAGCGATTATTTTCAAACATTGACTTAAAATTGTTTCTCATTTTGTTATTATCAGTTTCATAATTTACACGGTTTGGCATTACGTTAAATAATATAGATGTTGCAAATGCTATTGCATATACTCCACACTCAGCACTACCAAAAGGTTGTTGATCAACAGCTTCAAAAACTATAAAGTATTTGAATATGATTATCACCGTCTCTAATTGGGACAATAAAATCAAGCATTTGTACATACAAAAGAATCTTTTCTTAATAAATCTTCAAATTTGTACATATGCATGTAATTTAACAATTTATTTCTATTTTCAATAATTTTTAAATCTTTATCACTTAAAATAATATACTCTTTTATGTTGGCCATAGTATACTTCGTTTAATTTTATTTTTTATTCATGAAAATCTAAATATCTTTAACCCTTTTGCTCACTCCCTGTAATATAACCAATTTTGCCTTTTATTAAATATAACCAATTTTGTCTTTAATTCAATACAACCAATTTGACCTTTTATTAAATATAACCAATTTTTCCTTTAATTCAATACAACTAATTTTACCTTTTACTAAATATAACCAATTTTTCCTTTAATTCTATATAACCAATTTTTACTTTAATCCAATATAACCAATTTTGCCTTTTATCCAATAAAACTACCATATATCCAAATGAATGAGAGAACTATGTGTAACTATGAATCAGTAACTACTGATCAGCCAATAAGTGCAAAAAGGACACTCTT